CGCCCGTCCGCATTCGGGCAGGCTTCTTAATCCGTGTCTCCGTCGTCCCTCCTGCCAGACGGAACCTCCCTCAAAGGTCTGGCGCCTGCCAGGGGCTCTATAAGCGTTCGCCTTTTAATCTCCACTTTCACATATTTCTTTTGGTCACTCTTTTTTCTCTTGAGTTGGAGTCTCAATCCACCGCCCAGCCTGGAGTGCAGTGACAGGCTCACGGCCACTGCAGCCTCGACCTGCTGGGCTCCGGCGATCCTTCCTTCCAAGTAGCCGGAACTACAGGCGCGCGCTACCACGCCCGGCTAATTAAAAAAAAAAAAAAATTATTGTAGAGATGAGGTCTTGCCGAGTTGCCTGTGCTGGTCTCAAACCCGCGGGCGCGGGCGGGCCACTCGCCTCGATCTCCCAAAGTGCTGGCATTACAGGCCGAGCCACCGAGCCCAGCCTGGTCAATCTTTTTATTGAGATATTGTTTACATACAATAAAATGCACACATATTTTGTTCTCTTGTTTTTCTTTCATGTCTGAGAGTGGCAACGATCCTCTTGTTCAAAATTGGTGGGCATGCAAATCGGTACAGTACTCAGAGAAGACACATAGCATTCCTATACTTTTTTTTTTTTTTTTTGAGTTGGAATCTCTGTCGCCACCATAACCTCGACCTCCTGGATTCAGGTGATCCTTCCACCTCAACCTCCCGAGTAGCTGGGATTGCAGGTGTGCACACCAAGCACAACTAATTTTTTTTGGGGGGGGGTTCTTGCTATGTTGTCAACGCTGGTCTCAAACCCCTGGGTTCAAGTGATCCTTTCACCTCAATACTGGATTTACAGGTGTGAGCCACCTCTCCCAGCCTGTTCTGAGAATATTGACCAGAAAGTGTTGATTATTCTATGTAAATGGGGATACACAGGTCAGTAACCTAAATCCTATAACATACTTCAGTGGGAGCCAAAATGTCACGTTCATTCTTGAATTCTAGTCTATGTTTCAAAAACCCACTCTTTTCATCTGCAGCATTTTCTCGAGCATAAAAAAGAACCCTTGATCAGCACCAGGGACAGCAACAAAGATGCCATTGGTCAGCACCAGGGACAGCGACACAACTGGGGCCGTTTAGGCTACAGCAGGTGGATTTGGGCCTCACCCCAGATCCAAGGAAAGTTGTGTATAAGCAACTGACCCACCTCCCTGTTAGTGAAACTAAGTGCTGGATTGAAAGAGACAGAACATCTGAAGATCTGAGCACTTGTCATGCAGTGGGTGCTGAGCCCGCTAGATGTGCACATGGCAAAGCTTTCATTCCATCCTGGGACACAACTCTTCTGTCTCACACTCATGGAAAGTGATGCCAGGTCTAGTTTTCCCCGAGGACTAGAGAGCCTTCTTAATTGGCGATAGAAGTCCATGCACTGGGACATGAAAGGGGTCAGAGGATGGAAAGATGTCTCCAGGTCAGTGGTCCACATAAAATACTCTCCGTGGGGGTTTCCACCTCATGCCACATTGAGGCATGTTCTCCAACATGATGAGCTAAGCTGGGTGTCTTGGTTTGGGTTTCCCCACAAATCAGACCCTGTGAGGGTTAATTTTACATGTCAACTTGACTGGGCAATGGGGTGCCCAGATATTTATTTGGTCAACTACTCTTCTAGGCGTTTCTGTGAGAGTGTTTTTGGAGGAGATTAACATGCAAATTGGTGGAATAAGTAAAGAAGATTGCACCCTATGCCATGGGTGGGCCTGATATGACCAGTTGCAGGTCTAAATGAAGCAAAAGACTGACCCTCTCCAAGGAGGAGAGAATTGTGCTACCCAAAGACCGTCAAGAACTGGCACATCAACTCTTCCTGCCTGAAAACCTTTGAACTGGGACATTGGCCCTGGAGATTTTGGGCTTTCCAGCCTCCATAGTCATGTGAGCTAATACACACATGCACACACACACGCACACATGGGCACTCATATTTTCTACTCAGGGATGCAGTTTCATGGAGGTTTGCAGTAACATTTGAATAACTTCTTCTTTGCTTTTGTTCAGGCTTCTAAAGCCCAGTCTCCCTCAATGGACTCTCTCCACCATGCCTCCAGGCTGCTGGAAGGGAACCAGATCCAGCACCGAAGAATCTGCCCAACTGCTACAATAGCTTTGATGATTCTGTTCTTCAATTCGGACACAAGTCTTAGAGAGCACACCTACTGACACATTCTGTCCTGTCTTATTACTTTCTTTTACATGGTCATTAACTCTTCTTCACCACAATACAAGTATCACTTAAGCCCCTGTTCAGAGCTTCTGGAATGGCCTTTCCAGTCTACTTGCTGTTCATTTCAGAATGTAAACACCCAAGGAAAGACAAGTTTTTCCATGCATCCCATTAGATGGAATCCACTGAGAACGGTGGCATCATGGACTCCAAAGCTAATGTGTGACACTTTTATGAATTTAAAGCTATTATCTGGGAGTAACTACTGTAAACTGGCAATTGGAGTGGGCCACCTTGCTGGGTTCTAGTGGCAGCAATTTCTCCAGATGTCTTCCCATGCTCCCCAACTGTCTGTCAGTTCTATCATGTTATTGCTGTTATTTCCAATAATCTGCAAAGGGCTCCAGGACCAGCTTCCCTCAAGGTATGCACACCCAAGGGGGCTTTCTCAGGCCTCTTCCCACTGCCTCGATGCTGTTGAGTCTGGAACTGATACAAACCAAGTCTGCAATCTTGATTCTGACCAGAGGCATCCTTTCCCACAGCAGTTGTCTGATGACTCCTTCAGGGAATTTTGTCTCTTGGCTCTGATGTTGGGTACCCTCTGGCATAGTCACTTGGAACAAGCTGTCTGTAGAGATGCTACAGCCTGGAAATGTCTGTCAGCCAGCAAGACTTTCAGTTCATTTGAGCATGTTGCACCTATCCTGTAAATGCCCCCGGAATGCTACTAGGGCAGGGACTGTGGTGTCAAAAAGATTTTTCTATAAAAGTTTTTTTTTTTTTTTCCTTTTTTCAAGTCAGAGTTTCACTTTGTCACCCAGGCTTGGAGTGCAGTAGCATGCTCATAACCACCATAGCCTCAACCTGCTGGGCTCAGGTGATCCTTCTGCCTCAACTTTCTAGGTAGCTGGAACCACAGAATGAACCACCACGCCCAGCTAATTTTTTTTTCTTTCTTTTTTGAGTTAGAGTTCACTCAGTTGCCCAGGATGGAGTGCATGGTACAATCATGGTTACCGTAGCCTCAACTGCTGGACTCAGGCAATCCTCCTTCTTCAGCCTTCTGAGGAGCTAGACTACAGGCATGTGCTACCATGCCCAACTAATTTTTTGATTTATTGTAAAGACGAGGTCTCACCATGCTGCCCAGGTTCAAGCAATCCTCCCACCTCAGCCTTCCAAAGTGTTAGGATTACAGACATGAGCCACCATACCCAGCCTGGTTTAATTCAGTCTCTGCTCCTCAGTCCCAGTACTTAGGTTCTGCCCATGATTGCATGCTTGGACATGCTCAGGTTACATGAACTTCAGCCTGGGGGTCCATGGCGACTGAAATCTCACAACTTTGTTACATAAAGGCTGGTCTGGTGTAGTTATGAAAGTTCTCCCAGATGCCTCTACATAGTACCTTGGCTGAATTCTTCTATTCAATTCCCTTGGTCACAAAATTGTTTTGCTGAAAAAATATGCAAGTCCCCAAACATGCTATTTTTACTTTTTATTAGTTTTACTTTTTATTAGTATTATTCTTATTTTTGTAGAGTCGAGGTCTTGCTATGTTGCCTAGGCTAGTCTTGCACAACTCAAGGCTCAAGCAATCCTTCCACCTCGGCCTCCCAAAGTTCTGGGATTATAGGCATGAGCCACTGTGCCTGGTCTGTTATTACTTTTTAAGGCTAGTAAGTGAAGCAGTGGGAGTGGAGACCAAAAATGTATTTTTAAAAATATTGCCTTTAATGCCTTCTTTATTCTTCCTGAGAGGGATGAGCCTTTTTCTTTCTTTCTTTCTTTCTTGTGAGTCAGAGTCTCACTCTGTCACCCAGGTTGGAGTGCAGTAGGCACGCTCATGGCCACCGCAGCCTCGACCTGCTGGGCTCAGTGGTCCTTCTGCCTCAGTCTTCCAAGTAGCTGGAATTACAGGTGCGTGCTACCATGCCCAGCTAATTGTTTGATTTGTCGCAGAGATGAGGTCTTGCCAAGTTACCCAGGCTGGTCTGGAACCCCTGGCTAAGCCTTTTCAACGAAACACCTACTTTGTCCCAGTGACTCCTGGGTCCTCAGGAGTCCTTGATTCCCAGGTGCCTGTAGGTCTTGGTGTGCTACTCAGGGCTCTGTGCTCTGCAAAGAAAAGGCAGATGGCATCCCTCTGAGTCTCCAAGGTACGGGGCCATAGGAACCTTGACCCTGAAGCGAAGGCGAT